GTACCGGGGGTGTGACTGGAACATGGGTAACACATGTCCCTGATACTCCAGGAACTGGTCTGACTTTGAGCTTTCCCGTTCCTCATCTGATGGATTATATGGTGTCAAGTCACCAGGTAAAGTTGTCTCATCTGTAAAGGTTATAATATTTTATTAAGGATCCAGCAGAAAAAAAAAATCATCAGCTGTGTTATGCATTCAAAATTACAATATTCCGTTTTTCCATCAGTATTAGCACACCTAAAGCCACGTTTTTGTGTGACACTGAAATATTGCAGTGGTAATAAAAACTTATAGCTGTTTTTGTATTATTATAACTTTATATAAAGGAAGTTTCATTTAATGAAATATAGTGCATTCAGACTTTCTCAATGACAAGTTTTTTAGTAGCTCTCCAACTTCCTCAAGCAGCATCCCACTGTGAGATATTTTTCACCCCCCTATCCATCCAATACTGATAAAGAACTGAACAGACATCTTCATCTAATAAAACAATAAAGGAATATCATATCACATGTTCTCACCTGTAGGTGTACTGCTGTATGTGTCACTCCTCTTCCTGGTCTGATAAATAATGATCACCCAGACCAAGGACGTTCCCACCACGCAGCACACTACAGCTATTATTATAATCCCTGTCGTTGTGGACTCGTCATCCAATCCACCGCCATTGTTTCCACGTGAGGGGGACTCCAAATTGATAACAGTCAGCTGGGACGTCCCTCTCTCCATCCCCAGAGTGTTGGACATCTCACAGGTATACCTCCCGGCATCCTCTGGCCGTGTCTGGACAATGACCAGTAACTGGTCGTTGGCTGTAAAGAAATGGCGTTCCGTCACCCCCAGCGGTTTATCGTTCTTGAGCCAGGTCAGTTTGGGTTTGGGACTCCCTGCAGCCAGGCATTCCAGGACAGTGGTCTCCCCAACCTTAGTCTGCTTGTCCTCCATTGGTTTGACAAAAGACGGATTTTCTGAAGAGGAATTACAACTTATAATCTTACAGTTCTCCAAATACACCCAAACTTCTGTGTAGGTGCCACTCTAACTTCAAGAATAACACTTCAAGACAAATGTAAGAATGAACAAATTAGACCTAGATTAATCAAAAAATGGTGTAACTAATAACAAATTAAGTCCAGAGCTGAATTTAATTCACAAAAAAAGCGTGAATATCGAACTCTACCCACCAAACACTGTCAGCGTGGCATTAGCGATGATAGTTCCGGCTCCATTCCTGGCCATGCAACTGTACAACCCTTGGTCCAAACTGCTCACTTTTAAGATAAAGAACACGTCGTCCTCTCTAGCAAACATCATGCGCCGTTCACGTGCAGCAGGGAAGTCCTCACCCCCATCTTTCTGCCAGAACACCTCTGGTTGTGGCTCTCCGTGTGCTGCACACTCCAGTCTGGCTGTTTTTCCCGCCTTAACAGACACATCGAGGGGGGTCTTTGTGAACACCGGATAGACTGGAAAAAATTAAGCAGTTTCTTCAGTGTCTTTTGTATAAATATGGGGACAATTACATAGTTTTTACATCTCACAGGGAAAAAAATAGATTCCAGAAAATGAATAGAAATGAATAGATTCCAGGTAGACTGGAACAAATAAGACACATTAATGGAGTGAAATGGTTTTTCATTTTCTGTTAAGAAGAAATCTATTATTTTCTTAAAATTATCTTTATTTTGTTCAAGTTAGTGGACAGAATTCCATGTATCAGTTTCTGCAGCAAGAAGCATTTTGGTCTTATTATCTCCTGTTAAAGGGATGGGCACAAGGTCAGTCAATAACAATAAATTCCATAATGAAACACCTTGCTTGGACATCATCTTTCATTGACAAAACAAACAGCATTCATCACTCTACATTACTCCACATTACTATATATTAGTCCCAAGTCTTACAATATCCAAACAGGTAAATTGACAACTCCTCCCCCCCCCCCCCCTCACTGGACCTCAACCCCTGCCCCTGGCTGAGAAGACAGGCTCCTGTCCCCACTGTGCTTCTCCTCTCTCACAGCTGGTAATAAACCAGACATCTTTTGTGGCCACATTAGCCGAGCTAATACCCACTGACACTGACACCAGTACAGATGAATGGAGCCACTAAATAATCACTAGAAAATCAATAACAGGAAGGCAGCAAAGTGTGAAAATGCGTAACAATTCTAAACCTTCTTCGACCTCAATTGGAAGAGAAAAAGAGACTATTACACAACCCCTGCATACAGGTGCACCAGGCAGTATCGGGGGAAGTAATTGTAGCAGATAAAGGTAGTAAGTTATTAATCTAGGCACACACAGAGCAAAACTTCACAGCAAACCCCTCAAAGTCTGTGTGGCTTATCTTGGGAGTGCTGACCCCTATTGAACTGTATTGATAATGTCTGTCTGCCGTCTGCTCCAATTGTTACACACAGACTGGATACGAATAACAGAGTATGTCTCCAAGACACACAAACAAACACACCCACTGTCACTCATGTCCTGAGATCTCAGACAAATTTCAATCAATACAGATATCCCAGTTTCAATCTTAGGCACAACACATAGAGACAACTATATGCTTATATGGTGAAATAGGTTTTTTCATTGTCTCCATGTTAAGGTGACTGATAGTAAAAGGACCAAAGTCATAGAAACAAAGCCCTGGGCTTATAAGTTTTTATAAAAAATTAAAACAAACTTCCCAAAAGGCCAATTAAAGACGGGATTAAGTACAGTGTCCAACGGATGACGCTCTGGCGCCAATTTGAGGGGAAAAATGCCGTTTTCGGTATTGGGATTTTCTCTATAACCAAGACAGCTATTCAAGTGATTCAAAAGGCCTCATAAAGCTGGGTGAAAGCACTACAGCGCGGTACCAGGGAATTGTCTTAAACTATTTACTTTTGATTTTANTGACCTCAATTGGAAGAGAAAAAGAGACTATTACACAACCCCTGCATACAGGCGCACCAGGCAGTATTGGGGGAAGTAATTGTAGCAGATAAAGGTAGTAAGTTATTTATCTAGGCACACACAGAGCAAAACTTCACAGCAAACCCCTCATAGTCTGTGTGGCTTATCTTGGGAGTGCTGACCCCTACTGAACTGTATTGATAATGTCTGTCTGCCGTCTGCTCCAATTGTTACACACAGACTGGATACGAATAACAGAGTATGTCTCCAAGACACACAAACAAACACACCCACTGTCACTCATGTTCTGAGATCTCAGACAAATTTCAATCAATACAGATATCCCAGTTTCAATCTTAGGCACAACACGTAGAGACAACTATATGCTTATATGGTGAAATAGGTTTTTCATTGTCTCCATGTTAAGATGTTAAAAAAATAAATCACTTCTCATTGGCCAAAATGATTAACCTTTTTGAAAATCAACCATTCACAAGCTCTATGAATTCTTCCCTCCTCCCAAACTAAGCATATATACAATACATATGTCAAATAATAGTTACTAGCTCCAATCCAAAACACACACTGAAACCTACCATATACATTAACTCTGGCCTTCTTGGAGAAGACAGATCCAAACTGGTTGGTAACAATGCACTGGTAGCTGCCCGAGTCCACATCCTGGACATGCGTCAAGTGGAGGATGGATGTCAACTTGATCACGTTGTCGTTCCTCAGCGATGCAAAGTTCTCTACATTTGCATTATGCATTGGCTGAAAAAGAAAATGCAAATTATGAAATTGTAAAAATATCAGTGATGGTCTTAGTATTATCCTNNNTTATTGTCATCTAAAAATATTTTGTTTGGGTGCTTTGAAGGGGCAGAAAATCGTGCTTTTGTTACATTTTCCGACCACTCGTTAGGCATGTAAGCGTGCCGCCATTTTGATTGACAGCTCTAGAGAGGGCCCTAGCCTAGTGATGCCCCGTAGGGTGTCAAGGATATGTAGAAGGAAGCGCTAACAAAGGCGATTACGTTTAACCGCAATTAAGAGGTGTGAAGTTACATTTGAACGTTTCAATGGCTCTTTCTCGGCAATCGAGTAATTTTACCTGAGAGATTCCTTCTTTGTTATCGGCAAAGTGATCACATAAAACTGTGTCGAGAGCAAGTGTCCGTCACTTGTGTTAATACGAGTTTTTTGACGGGTAACGCTGCAGGATTATTTTGCACGACACTTGGTAATCGTCAGATCAACGGAAAAAGTCCAGTGATTACTTCATAGTGGTATTTCTCAAAATGCCAGCTAAGATAAAGGGGAGACGCTCAGCTGCACAAGAATCAGCGATAAAAGTGGCTGAGAGAAGGCTTTTGAATAAATATTTTATTTTTACACACATGACACTTAGACCCTATTTGCTTTTTACCTGCTAGTCTTGACTATTCTCGGGGTCTTTTTGTGATTTTCATTTTTGGATACATTTTGAACTCTTTCTTCCCGCTTGATCAGTGATTTTGAAATTGTTTTTCTCCAAACATCGCAAAATGCAAAGCCGCTAACATGCGTTTTTATTTTTATTGTTTTAATCATGCTGTCAACCCTTGCTTGGATTTTTCTCGTTTGTCCATTCACATCACAATTTTTTGCGTGTCTCTCAAGCTCCATGATATCATATCTTGGAGAATAAAATTTTATTTTGGCAACATTAGATTTACCTTTTGCAAACGGCGACCAACAATCAAATTCGGTTTCGTAACGTGTCGCAGATACGCTCGCCGATATATATTGCAAAAATTAGCTAGGCTAAAAGTATCCTTTTTAGCGTTTTTTTTTTATTTATCGATTTTTCTTTCATTTGTCAATTAATTTAGACGATTCGATTAACTCTTCTGTCCATTTATTAGGTATTCAGAAATCAGTCATCCGTATGAACAAATAGGACCGGTTTTCCCCAGCCGCCACGCATAGGCCCTACTCTCTTTCAAAATTTTCTTTCTTTCCTCAGGAAATGGACTTTTAACACGAACTTTTCTCTTCCCCATAGTGTACTAGCTAGACTTCTTCGCTGCTAAGCTGATGTGAGACTTATGACCTATTACGGCACACGTAATCGGCTTATAACTCATTAAATGTGCTCTGACCCCCTCATGGCAACGGCCCTTAGTAACAGAGGCGTGGCTTAGTTGTCAGCCTGACTGGGGCGCGTGCCGGTTGAAAAACTCATCAAAAGACACATTTTGCGATGCAAATTCATAAAAATTATTACGTCCAACGTTAGATACTTTTTTGATTAATATAAACACACAAAAAACTCAAAAACATGATTTTAAGCGTATTTAACCCTATCACCGGCCTTAAGATGTTAAAAAAATAAATCACTTCTCATTGGCCAAAATGATTAACCTTTTTGAAAATCAACCATTCACAAGCTCAATGAATTCTTCCCTCCTCCCAAACTAAGCATATATACAATACATATGTCAAATAATAGTTACTAGCTCCAATCCAAAACACATGCTGAAACCTACCATATACATTAACTCTGGCCTTCTTGGAGAAGACAGATCCAAACTGGTTGGTAACAATGCACTGGTAGCTGCCCGAGTCCACATCCTGGACATGCGTCAAGTGGAGGATGGATGTCAACTTGTTCACGTTGTCGTTCCTCAGCGATGCAAAGTTCTCTACATTTGCATTATGCATTGGCTGAAAAAGAAAATGCAAATTATGAAATTGTAAAATATCAGTGATGGTCTTAGTATTATCCTAATACAGTCAAAAACACAAGTAAAATTAAGTAAATAAATAATTAATAAATAAATCCTTTAAAATACTTAAACATTTAAACTCACAATCTTATTACAAAGAGAATTTTATTTTTGAAAATTATGCATAAAAGTGCTACTCACCACACTATTCTTCCTCCACTCTGCCTTCATGGGAGAGTCACTGCTGCTCTGTACAGCACAAGACAAGCTCATGTTGTTGCCTTTCAGTGCAATGACTGCTGTTGGCTCAGTCACCATCACTGGCTTTGGAAAGTCAGCTAAAATATACAACATCTATTTTTTAATATAGATCTATACAGAAATTGCTTCAATCATCAATTGGAATACAAACCTTTCACAGATCTTTTATGTTGTAAATTTTTTTTTAATTAAAAAAAGAAGTTTGAATTTTTTTCAGATCTAAAGTTGTGAAAGAACAAATGCCAAAAAATATTAATTTTTTTTCAGACTTTTATTAAAGGGATAATAACTCTTCATTTCGGCTAAAAAAAGAATTTTCCTGGAGTAAACAACAATTTTCCCATACTTACCAATGGTTAATAAATCCATTTTTACATTCAAAGTTAGTCCCTGGTTTTTTTCTAAAAAGTTTGGTTTTTTGTTAAAATCTCTTAAGAGATTTTAACAGAGTATAGCCATCAATGGAGGTCACGTTGTTTAAAGACAAGCTCAAATATCAGAATTTCGAGCTATAACTGCAGTTTTTGTGGTAAAACGGAATATATTATATTTCTACGAGTTATTCACAATGTTTTTATTGTGAAATATAGATCTCATACAAAGAGTTATTATCCCTTTAAGTGAAGGATCAAAAACCAAGAAGTGAAGTTGGGGAGTTTCAACTCACTACAAGTAAAGTCCTCCTGGCTCACGTCCAGTATACTGGAGCCCTGCAGTGTTCTTGGATGACCACATCGAGCACTGACCATCGCCTCTAACTGCTTCTGCTGCAGCCATATTGGCAGCCATTTTAGCTGGCAGTCGCACAGGAGTGTGCTGGTGTTGAATTTACTGAAAGTAAAAATAAACCAAGCTGTCATTCAGCACCTTGACTCCTACCTTATTTTTTGGCACAGAATACGGTGACTAAATCCACTGTAAGTAAGACCAGACTGATCGTCAGTCTGTGATTTTCATTTTTTATAAACTCATATGTAATTCCATGTAACATAAATCTTAAAATAAGATTTAACCAAGAAGAGATAATTTCTTATTAAGTACAATTTTCAGAGTATTAACTTTTTCTGAGATTGTGTTTTTTTAATCTAAAAAAAAAAAAAACATCTGTTTGTTACTGTTCTTATTGAATTGCCATTTTACAAAATATTTTCATAATCATTACATTTTAATATAGGTGGTGCTCTACAGGCTGAGAATCACAAAAAAATAAAGATAAAGAGATTTTCAGCCAATTCAAACATCCTTTCACAATTCTAAAGCTAAGATGACTCAGTCTTATGTCTGGTAACCTCTTGTCTCAGTGGAGGTGAAGAACAGGCTTGCTTATTTAATACACTGCTTTCTTGATCACTGTCCAAATAAAAAAGAAGACCTGAAGACTCAATGTACTTTATGTTTGGAGTACTGTAAACAGAGAATCATTGCCCAACAATGAAGTGCTCCTTGAACTTTCCTGTTTATATTTTTTCTATTGTTTTTCAGGAGATAGTTCTGTTTTTTTAATCATCTTTCAGACTCTGAGAGTTCAAATTTTGAAGGGATGGACAAAACATTTGATCTGTTTTGTGTTTAGCCTAAAGATGATGGTGGAGCTCTTCTCTCTCGATCTCTCTCTCTCTCTGTCTCTCTCACACACACGCACGCACAAACAAATATGATTAAAAACTTACATCTGTTCCAAGCTCACGAGATCAGCAAATGCATCTTCCTGTATGGAGGTGATGTTGTTGTTAACCAACTGTAGATGGCGCAGCTGTACCAGGCCGCTAAAGGAGGTGGTAGAGATGGACTTGATGTGATTATTGTTTAGATCTAACCGCAGTAAACTGGTCAACACTTCAAATGCTGCATTCATGTCAATAGTCCAGGATATCTCATTGCCAGCTAACTCTCTGAAAATTCAAATTTTGGTGATTATATTTTGGAACATATATATAATCATTTCCTTTGAAATAATTCTAACTTATTTGAAAAAATTTTATCTACTTATCACAGAACACCTGGCACGATGAAAATTAACAATTTAAAAATACAGCAGTAACAGAAATCATGCCTGAATGACTGAAACCTGTGCGATTCTGATAATTACACTTTCTTAATTCAATTATCATCAGCTCCTATCTCACATTCACAATAGCTGATAGCTGCACGACTACCCTGAGCTACTTACAACACTTCCAGATTACCCATGCTCCTGAAGGCACCTCCCGCAATGTACGAGATCTGGTTATGGACAGCGTAAACTTCAAATGCTTGGAGTTCCCCCATTCCTCTTCTGATGGATTAAATGACTCTTGGTCTGATGCATTATAAGGCATCCAGTCAACCAGTTAATTGTAGGTACATGGTTAATGCCTTAGTTCAGTTGACCAAGATTTACTATATGAATTTCATTGACTGTCCAAAATATATCACAGGCCAGAATGGTCCAATTTTTTGAGTACACTGAAGACTGCTAAACATTTGAGAATTCAACTACATGACACAACTGCTGCAGGTGGTGAGTCAATACAGTCAGTTTTGGTGATCTTTTCCTATATTTAAGGAGGACAGCAAGCTCACTTTGTCCATTTTCCCTGAGGTATTCCATTGATAAATTACATGTAAATGCTTTGTCCCTTTTCATTCTGTGAATTTCCAGGAAAGTTTGATAATCATTGGTCTAGGAAAGTCCCAATTTACTTTATCAATTCAAGAAGATCAGTCTGTCCTTGTTCCTGAAGACATCTACACAGTGTATCATGTGCCCTAACAGGTTTCCTGCTTATAATGTCCAGGAAGACTGCAACTTTCTTTGGACATTTCACCCTGTCAGTTGAGGGCTCAGTTTTCACCGTCTCTGCTTCACGGTCGGTGATAATGCCTTCTTGGAGGAACTCATCCAACATGTCCAGGAGACAGGGTTCTGTGATGTTTTCACAAAGCCTTGGTTTTTCTTTATGCAGAACTGAAAATGATTAAACAAATGCAATGTTTTTTTTAAATGATACACATAAGAAAGATAAAAATTACCTGTTATTATGTAAAAATATTGATTTTAGAGGACAATTAGGAGAATATAGAGACTTTGACACATAGGCAGAGCTAACTGTAAATAAAAATACTAAAGATTTTACAGAAAAAATCCCTACTGCTGTAAGAATTTTTTTTTGCATTTTGAGTTAGTACATGGAGATGGTATAAACTATGATATGGGATGTCAATCATTGGGTTATGTTATTATAGCTAAAATGCTGCACTTAATGAAAAATAAAGTAAAAAAAAAAAATCTTGTAAGTAAATTTTTTAGATGTCACATTCAGGTGAGGGCCGATTGACAACATTTTTTGAAAATAGAGACATAAAAAAGAGAAACTAGTGAATCTTTAAAGTAATGCTATAATAGTACAGAGAGATATGTTATGTGCTTACCTTCCTGCCAGCTCATGACCAGGTGTGATGGGTAGACCAGGTCTACAGGAATGGAGACACCAGTATTGACACATGGCACCTGTCTTGGTTTGGAAGCTGTCCCAAGGGTCTGGTCAAGTATCTCTCCAGGGAAGAGTGTTGGTGTTTTCTGACAGTATCTTTTTCTCTTGGTTGGTATTTCTGCATTTTGGGCAGTAGTTGAGGGGGGGTGGTGCTCACTGTCCTCACTCACACAGTGGGGACACACCAGGTACTTGTCATATGACAGCCCTGGCCAGTCCTCTTTAATGATGTCCATGAGGTCACTGTGGCCTTGCATGAGAACACGTCACATGTCTGAGAGATGTGATCCACGGACAGCAATGCTGATAACCCAGTCTGGATCTTGGCTGACTGGATCAGGATTTAATTGGTGTGGCTCTCGTGCCAACTGCATTTTGCATCCCTCAAGTTCTGCATACACTCCATCCTTCCAGTCCATTCGCATGGTCTTCATGAGCCCAAGGTGTTTGTGTTGATGAACAGAAAATTTCTCATATAAGCCAGCTGGACATTTGTATGGAAAGAAAACCTGCAGGGTAAGTTGTGTGGTGTCTGGGAGAACCTTGCTGGGCCATTTCTTTTCTAGCTCAGGTTGTCTTTCTTCAGTGAGGAGCCATGGGAAGTGGAATGAGGTATTGGATGGAAGGGATTTATCTTCCTGGACTTGATAGCACAGCTCCAGTTTCAACATCATTTCTGTCATGGCATCAACTTCAGTGCTTGACAATTTGAAAGGTTCACACAGGCAGCTCATAGCTTGTTTAGAAACAATTCCTCTGCTAAAAATGTCTTCTTCTATTATGGGTGCTTTTCTTCTTGTAATCTTCATGGACTTTTGGAGCTTTTGTGATACTTCACCTTGATCATGTGTGAGGACTGCCTTGAGAACATTCACAATAACCTCTTGCTTGTGGAAAACAACTTTCATCAGTGAAGGGCTTTTATCAAACCATATTATGTCTCCACGGTGAGCTAGGAAACTTAAGATGTCACAAATTGTTTTCTCTTTTTCTTCCTGTGTGTGCTTCTCTTTCCATGATGTAGGTGCACTTTGCAGAACGAGGTCTTCAATCACCTCCCAGCCAAGTGTGTTCTCAGGGCCTTCAATTTTCTTGGTGCAGATATTCTTGGCTGCTTCCACCCACATTCCTGGCAAAACTTCAGCGCTTGTCCTGGCAAAAGAAAGCAGGTAGTCTCTCCACTCCTGAACTCCATTAAGGGTTTTTGAACTCACTGTAAAAATGTGCCTATGGATGGGTTTTATCTGATCATACAAGGTCTGCAGATGACNAAATGCCATTTTACAAAATATTTTCATAATCATTACATTTTAATATAGGTGGTGCTCTACAGGCTGAGAATCACAAAAAAATAAAGATAAAGAGATTTTCAGCCAATTCAAACATCCTTTCACAATTCTAAAGCTAAGATGACTCAGTCTTATGTCTGGTAACCTCTTGTCTCAGTGGAGGTGAAGAACAAGCTTGCTTATTTAATAGACTGCTTTCTTGATCACTGTCCAAATAAAAAAGAAGACCTGAAGACTCAATGTACTTTACGTTTGGAGTACTGTAAACAGAGAATCACTGTTTATGCCCAACAATGAAGTGCTCCTTGAACTTTCCTGTTTATATTTTTTCTATTGTTTTTCAGGTGATAGTTCTGTTTTTTTTTTTTTTTTTAATTTTTTTTTTATCATCTTTCAGACTCTGAGTTCAAATTTTGAAGGGATGGACAAAACATTTGATCTGTTTTGTGTTTAGCCTAAAGATGATGGTGGAGCTCTTCTCTCTCTCTCTCTCTCTCTCTCTCTCTCACACACACACACACACACACACATACAAATATGATAAAAAAACTTACATCTGTTCCAAGCTCATGAGATCAGCAAATGCATCTTCCTGTATGGAGGTGATGTTGTTGTTAACCAACTGTAGATGGCGCAGCTGTACCAGGCCGCTGAAGGAGGTGGTAGAGATGGACTTGATGTGATTATTGTTTAGATCTAACCGCAGTAAACTGGTCAAGCCTTCAAATGCTGCATTCATGTCAATAGTACAGGATATCTCATTGCCAGACAACTCTCTGAAAATTGAAATTTTGGTAATTACATTTTCAAACGTGTATTCATTTCCTTTGAAATAATCTACTTATCAAAGAACAACTGGCACGATAAAAAAATTAACAATTCAAAATTACAGCAGTAACAGAAATGCCTATATGGCTGAAACCTGTGTGATTCTGATAATTATATTTTCTTAATTCAATTCTCTTCAGATACTAGCTCACATTCACAATAGCTGATAGCCGCGAGACTATCCTGAGATACTTACAATACTTCCAGATTGACCATGCACCTGAAGGCCCCTCCCACAATGTACGAGGTCTGGTTATGGACAGCGTAAACTTCAAATGCTTGGAGTTCCCCCATTCCTCTTCTGATGGATTAAATGGCTCTTCCTCTGATGCCATTTAAGGCATCCAGTCAACCAGTTAATTATTAGTGCATGGATAATGCCTTACACCCCATTCTCATAGATTAGATCGACCTACATTGGATCGACCTAACTCCCTGGGGGTTCACGCTAAATAGCTGTCAGCCGGGCGGACACGAAAGTTAATTACCCCTTATAGCTTGTAGTAGGAGGGGACGGACACTTAAGGCGGATTATCTGACAGTAATCTAGTGAGACTCCCCGCGGTGATAGATCGATCTAAAAGTTGTGAGAACAGAGCCTTAGTTCAGTTGACCAAGATTTACTATTTGAATTTAATTGATTGTCCAAAAGATATCGCAGGCCAGAATGGTCCAATTTTTTTTAGTACACTGAAGACTGCTAAACATTTGAGGATACAACTCCATGACACAACTGCTGCAGGTGGTGAGTCAATACAGTCAGTTTTGCTGACCTTTTGCTATATTTAAGGAGGACAGCAAGCTCACTTTTGTCGGAGACATCTAATAATTCACAGGCAATATTTGAGGGTAAGAAGCAGACTTTGTCCATTTTCCCTGAGGTATTCCATTGATAAATTACATGTAAATGCCTTGTCCCTTTTCATTCTGTGAATTTCCAGGAAAGTTTGATAATCATTGGTCTAGGAAAGTCCCAATTTACTTTATCAATTCAAGAAGATCAGTCTGTCCTTGTTCCTGAAGACATCTACACAGTGTAACATGTGCCCTGACAGGTTTCCTGCTTATAATGTCCAGGAAGACTGCAACTTTCTTTGGACATTTCACCCTGTCAGTTGAGGGTTCAGTTTTCACTGTCTCTGCTTCACGGTCGGTGATAATGCCTTCTTGGAGGAACACATTTAACATGTCCAGGAGACAGGGTTCTGTGATTTTTTCACAAAGCCTTGCTTTTTCTGTATGCAGAACTGAAAATGATTAAACAAATGCAATGTTTTTTTTAAATGATACACATAAGCAGTCTTCACGAATAAAATTTTTAATTAGTGGACATTTGGTCCACCAAGACTGCAATTCCTACTGGACCTAACCAACTTTTACTGGACCAATTCTAATAAATTTGTTTAAAAAGAAAATAATAAATAAGGCTGATGTTTTTGTACCAAATTTATTTTTCAACAGATTATTTTGCTTTATTCCCTGCAGAATACAGAGAGCATTGAAAACACATGGTTGTACGACATTTCCTCCTCCTCATCATCATCATCATCCCTGTCACTCTCAGAGTTTTCACAATCAATCCATTCTTTTGTGACCTGCAATAAAAAGAAAGGGCACCTTTCTATTATCTATCTCTGTAGTTTCTTTAAATTCAGTTTACATCAAAGTTTTTGAATATATGTGAAGATTGTCATATTTGTCTGTCAATAATAAAACCTACATTATGTGGTTTTGGGGTACATAAAACAAAGAGTAAATCAATTAGGGATTAACAGACATACCTCAGTTTCACTGACATTGCTCNACCTGTAATATCACCTGTGGTGGAGGCTCCCAGTCAAGAACCAGGACATGTACCAATCCAGTACCACAAAATGGAGGTGCTGATTGTGTGGGAATCAGACTGGAGTTACAACTGTGTAATACTCAGGGTTGTCCAGGTGAGATACTCCTAATTTTACTCTAATTGAATTCAGGAAAAATCTTCAATCCATTTCATTATCTGTAAGATGCTGATTCTATTTAGGGTCATTATACTACAAAATAAGTATTTATTCCTCGAGTCAAGTTATAGTCTTTTTCTACTTTTTTTTTTACTGAAGTTTTGAAATATCAGTCTTCACGAATAAAATTTTTAATTAGTGGACATTTGGTCCACCAAGACTGCAATTCCTACTGGACCGAACCAACTTTTACTGGACCAATTCTAATAATTTTTGTTTAAAAAGAAAATAATAAATAAGGCTGATGTTTTTGTACCAAATTTATTTTTCAACAGATTATTTTGCTTTATTCCCTACAGAATACAGAGAGCATTGAAAACACATGGTTGTACGACATTTCCTCCTCCTCATCATCATCATCATCCCTGTCACTCTCAGAGTTTTCACAATCAATCCATTCTTTTGTGACCTGCAATAAAAAGAAAGGGCACCTTTCTATTATCTATCTCTGTAGTTTCTTTAAATTCAGTTTACATCAAAGTTTTTGAATATATGTGAAGATTGTCATATTTGTCTGTCAATAATAAAACCTACATTATGTGGTTTTGGGGTACATAAAACAAAGAGTAAATCAATTAGGGATTAACAGACATACCTCAGTTTCACTGACATTGCTCACTGTTGAAGTGGAAGGTACATGTACCTCAGTTTCACTGACATTGCTCACTGTTGAAGTAGAAGGTACCTCAGTTTCACTGACATTGCTCACTGTTGAAGTGGAAGGAAAAGGATCTGTAGCTGTAACAGTTGTCTTCACTGTATCTCTCTTATACCCCAACCTTCTGCTCCTTCTAGATGGCGTGACCTGCAAATATTTATCTTTAAATGAATATGCATAATCTCCTATAGGCTCACAATAAATACTTAATAGACATGGAGAGCTGTTGCTTTTCTCAGAAATAATCATGAATGTTGCAAAGACGTGTCATTTGATAACTAAAAATCTATGCATGTCTGATTTTTGATCCAAAAATTAAATGCCTTAATATATTTCAACATGTAATTTACCAGCCAATCCTTGATAGCTTCATCAGGATTAAAATCTTCAATCGCAGGGGATTCCAGGTGAATCAGCAGCAAGTCATTTAAAGTGGATGCATTTAACCGACCCCTTCTTTTTGATTTTGTCAATTTCATGGCACTGAATGTTGCTTCGTTCCTCACTGATGTGGGTGGCAGTGATCTTACAAGATCAAGTGTTGTATATATCGCATCCAAGTCTTGTGATTTAAATCCTTGAAGGGCGTCTTCCCAGGCAACAGAGGCAAGTTGTTGTCCATATCTAAATTAAGGAAATTAATCAATTTCATATTTGACATTTTAATAGCAAATGCAAACACATGCAATTTATTTTCAAAGGAAAGCAAACCTACCTCTTGTAAAGAAGGGCCTTAAGAAGGGACCACTCCTGTAATATGACAGCAAGGTCTGGCAGCAGATCTTGAAAGTGATTGTGTATGACTGTCAGCTCTGCCACTCCCTACGCTGATTGAAATAAATAATTAAATTATTGCCAATTTCATTTACTATAAACATCTCATCTTTTTTTAGAATAAATAAATAAATAAATAAATAAATGATAATAACATAGAATAAAAAAAGAAATAATACATAACCTTACTTAATAAACAGTGACTATTAAATTTTGATAATTTTATTTGAAAACATTTCATTAGTATTCACACAGCAATAACATTTTATTACAACAGCAATGTCTTGATTTAATTTAAGTAAAAAACACATAAAGTGACAACCCCCCCTAGAATATCACAACATAAACAATAAAATTGGCTGCATATAATAATAATTAGTTACAACATAGCACATTTTCAAACATATTACACAGCAAACAGTAAAAACACCATTCCCTGTTTAATTATAATACCTTTGATGCTATCAGATCCTGATGTAGGCCAATTATAAAAACTGCTTATGCATGAGGCATCAATGACAGCAGATCTTCCAGGTGGAAATCTGGCTTCTAAGCATTCTATAAGCTTTGACAAAAGGGTTGTATTACTGGAGCTGGGCTTCTTTCCTTTAAAAGTCACATTTACAGACTTGTATTCACTGGTCTGTAGCACTGCTGCAACCTCACCACTGTCACTGAAAAAGCAATAAACATTGTTATTGTTTATGAAATAGAAAATGTATATTTGCATAACAATTGAAACAACAGTTTTATTTACATGTACCTTGACAAACTAGACTTGAGAGTTTCTAAGGTACGGTAGCATCCACTCTGGCACAGGCATCAGCTAAACTCAGTTCACTTTTCTGCAGTACAAGGGACAGTCTTTGTAGAACACCAACAACCTCCTAAAAAGAGGGAAAATGAAGGACCCTTCACATCAATTTATCCTTGGTTTGTAAATAATAAATGGTGTATACAGATAATTGGTTACATATCTTTTACACATATACAGTGAGGTTTTTCATACTTAGTAAAGAAACTGAATAAATGGTCATGGTCATGTCTCCAATTATAACACACAATATACCACTTAGTGCTACCACTAAAGTATAAAATGTACTTACACTGAGATGCAGAAGATGAACCACAACATGTCCATCTGTCGCCAGCTTAGCCAGGCCTTCACATTTTGCATTGTCATGGGAGGAATTTTGCAGGTGATAGACAAACACAGTATAGCCTCTAAGAAAAACATGCAATGCTCTGTGTATGTGTGGCAACCAGCAAGTACCCCCTACTCGTGTTGGCAGCAGGACTTTCTGTTCAAGAGCATCAAATGCTCTATATAAAGATTTCTTTGACTTCGGGCTTTTTCTGTACAGGTAATATAGACCCAAAAGGAGGGTTATACACTTATCATACAGCTTGGGGCTTGCCTCTTTTACACAGTCCTTAAAGGCCAATTCCAACCTGTGAGCTAAGCAGTGGTTTGTGATAATGCATGGGTAGTCCTCTTTCAGAAGAGCAACTAGACCAGACGTTTTTCCTGGAAATTAAACAGGAGAGTGTACTTTTTCTATATCATTTAACATCCATGTTTTAGTGGAGAATAACAAGTGCAGCTGTACATTTACACCTACATTAACATTACCAGTCTATTATCATTACTGCAGTGTGACATATTTAAAGAATTAGCTTGAGCTGTAATATTTCCTTACTTTACCACTAGCTAAGCAATATTCACATTCTGATGGATTTTATATAACATTATGCATCAATTTTGAGGTACATAACTTTTTGAGTAAGCTTTATCATATGTAGCTGCTATCACCATACATTTACCTTGCATGTTGGATGCTCCATCAGCTGTGAAGCCAACCAGTTTTTGTCGTACCACATGTTCCACATTCAAACCTCTTAAGACTTCGTGTAACATATTGTAAATGTCTTTACTGGTAGATGATTGGGCTGGGCCAATAAACAGAAACATGTCATCAATATTTCCATCGTTGCACGACCTCACATAAATGTTTTCAAGATCGTCTCCAGAAAAATCAGTGGCCCCATCCATAGTTAAGCTCAAAAATTTGCATGATTCAATCTTCTGAATTACCCTTCTCCTTTCCACATTTGCAATAGCAGACACAAATTGTGCAGCGGACTTGTCAGTGGTGTGAGAAGTGCCAACATCAAGGCCTTTGGCCGTGTCCAGTTTACAAAATGTCTTAAACAAATTGAAACACAGATGGTGCTTGGCTATGGCGTGTGCCGATCGGAACTTGGATACCAGCCTGGTATATTCAGCCCTCTTCAGTTTCCCCAAGCAGTCTGCCGCTACACTCTGGGAAATGGGCGTAGATTTTGCTGCGATAAGTTCAGAATTCCGCTGGTGTTGTTTACATGCTGCATGTAGCCTAACAACATCTATCTTAAAATTTGACGTTCCCGCGATAAAGGGGGAATCCCCATCAGAATCATTTTTCAGACTTCGGCAGATTTTACAATGCATGCTGTTAGCCTCGGTGTCATACACAAGCCAGGAAAAACTGTGCTGCCACGAATTTTGAAACTTCCTTATCCTTTTTCGTTTGTACTCTTGACTTTGTAGATCTAACACTTTTCTTTTAACTCCGGGCTTCGCGCCCGCAAAATGCTTAAGAAACGCCATTTCGTAAAACCTCGTGGTTCACACTTTCAAGACCGTGATTGGATGACCCAATATAATTGACCAATCAGAATTCTCAAAGCTCACATTGCGCACAACCATTGTGTTTGGGCTCATCTGCCACACTCATTTTATTTTGGTTATGGCTCGCGTTATCACAACCTTTTAGACTATATATTCGCGAAGATAACACAATTTTTATTTGATTTTATGTGCTCTAAATTTTGCTCAACGCAACCCATGCATCTCTCAATATTTTAGCTGGACCGTTGGTCCACATAAATTTCAATATTTACTGGACCGACGGAAAATTTAGTGGACTCGGTCCACGGTCCACCGCTTAACGTCGAAGACTGCAATATAGGGTGTCCCATGGGCTATTCAAGACAGAAAAGACAACTGTGAATGAGAGAATGACAGACTTCAGTAACAGAACAAAAGAAGCAATATTAAGAGCTGTAATAAAGATTACCATTATTGCTTTGTCTTGCTCAGATCATTCGTGATCTCCCGCTGACGATCTTCTGCTAATGAAGTCCCTTAAAATGTACAAATGAAATGAAAGGATATTTTAAAAAAATAATACGTTTCAATGGGGAGGGTGGGTTAAAAACAATCGATTACGATCTTCCACTAACGCTCTTTCACGAACTAACTCCCTTGAGTAAATATGAAAATTGCCTTCTCGTCTCCCTTAGATTGAGAATGATCTCCAGCTGACAATGTTCCGCAAACGAAAGTCATTGAACATTTATGAGCTTTCTCTTCTCGCTCGGATTGCGAATGATCTCCTGACGATACGAAAATTGCATTCTCGTATTGCCCTTTTGATAACGAGGTCTTTTTAACAAATATGAAAATTGCCTCCTCGTCTATCTTGGATTGCGAACGATCTCTTGCTGAAAATTTGAAAATTGCCTTTTTGTCAATCAGCTTTGTCAGTTGCCATACGTATGAAAGACCAGAATGTGTCCCCTTTCACAAATTGGCGGTTAGTTTATTTAGAGTGCACCGCATGAAGGTCACTCTTGTCACTGCTGCATACAGCGTGGAATGTGTATCTTAAAGTTAACAGAAACATTTTATTGCTTTTTGTAAGCTGTAGGAAGTAGTTTAGTCTTGACTGAATATAAGCGTTCACCACAAAGTAGTACCATTCATCTGTGACGCATCATAAAATCTGGGTACATCAAATTACTCTAAGAAAATTTCTTACAATGTCCACAGCTGCTCCGACAAGCCAAGACGTCATTTTCCAAAAAATAAAAAAGTCATAAGCCGTCAAGCCTTCTTTGAAAATATAGGCCGTCCAGTGATGTTAGCAACTGTCCAAACGATGGCTGGACCGGTTGCTGGGAAAAGCCTTGCTCATAACGGTATATATATTTATCAAGGGGCTTACTGACATAAAATTTGGGCACTTATAGATTGTGCCTGCTTGTATTGAGCTAAATTCTGAATAACAGTGTGGTAGGTACTGCTGTTCGATGTGTTTTGGTGTACTTATCCTGAGTTCTCAAAAAAAAAAAAAAAATCTGAAAAACAGAACACTTGGATCATTGTACTATCATGGCCGGGGCCTTCTTGCTATCCACTTTGTGATATCCACTTCATGGTCGGCTTCTCTAGGTTAAACTTACAGATGACATTACCCACCTTATATGCAAGTGCATGGCTCCCAAAATCAACCAATTATATTAAAGGATAAAATTCTAATATATCCAAGTTTAATTGTTTGTGCATTTTGTAGAAGTTGCCCATACCACCTTGTTAGTTTGGAGGGTTAAGCTGGATCAAGTCCGTGCAAAATTCTTTTAAGCTTTGCAGGCAAAATCAATCTTTCTTTATGTCTCTGGCTCCTGGTATAGCCCAATGATCAGATTTATCCAGTGCCTTAAGGTCTGCTGAAGCAGCTCTTTGAAAATAATGCACAGGTAGATTTTTACCTGAGATAAATATCGCCAGCAAGGGTGCATTCAATACACTCAAGACAAAGATTACCTGTGAACTGAAGGGCACTTTACCATTAAGAGGTAAAGGGATTTCCATCTAGATGGACGATTAAGATTGGACTTCTGATGGTAACTAGTATTGTTTACCTCAGTTATGTGAAAGCAAACGAGAAAGGGTGTTAGAACAATGGTGCATATATGCAATTATACAGAGGATTTGTACATTCAGGTGACATTACCTGTTACTTACAATAGGAGGGGATTTTTGATAATATTCCTTGAAAAATACACTAAATTGATAGAGAATAATATCATGGTTGGCCAAAAAATTGTATGCACAGTGAATCCGTATGAATGCCTGGTTATGCCCCTTGTCAAAGACATATATTCACAGGCAATTTCGGTAACTTCACATAATATCTTTTTACTGTAGGCTGTAGCTCCTAATAGTATTGATAAACAAAGTATCACGTTTTCAACAATTAATATTTTAAAATATAATCCATGTCTGCAAGGTTGTGTCAATGACCAAAATACAACGTTGAGTCAACGTCACATAATTACGGTGTTTTGACGTGGCTGGATCAAGGTTGATTTTACTTTGAATTGAGGTAGATCAACGGCAATTCAATGTATCAACCTGTTTTCAACGTTGATCCTAGGTGACTATGCCTTCTGGGAAGGGTGTAATAGTCAGCATATTGTCAGAATGAACCTGGGCAAGTGACAAGTGAACATTAAATGATTGAAACTGGTTATTGTTGTCAGCATTGGATTTCCTCATAGCGATCTACACCTAACTATTTTGACCACGAACTTGTAAGGTAATATCAATGTGTTATCCAAATTGAAAGCCTTCAATGGTGTCCGTATTTCAAGCCTTTTTCTAAATTGAATTCATTACTAAATTTTTCGCAGTTCCTGTTGCAAACCATTTCCTGATGACTATATGAAAACTGCCTTCTAGCATGGACAAAAAGTCCAAGCTTCTAGGCTTGCTCGGATTGCTGACAATCTCTTGCTGACAAATGCAGTTACAAAGTCCCTTGAAGTAGTGTGGAAATTGCCTTATCGTCGTGCTCAGATCGCTCACGATCTCCCATTGACACTCTTCCAGTCCCTTGAACAAATATGAAAATGGCCTTTCTGTCTTGCTCAAATTGCTAACGAATAGATGATAACTGCCTTTTCAGTTTAGTCTAGATTACCTATCACTTGTGTGTTTCTTTGAAGATGGTTTAAATTACAAAATGTAAACACTTTTCAAATGTGTACATTAGCGCAACTATGTGCCAGCTAATCAGTTGCATTGTTGAAAAGCTGCTGGTCAAGATTGGGTTGCCTAAGCTAAAAAGTGGACATTGAGCCCTGCACCCCCCACAACCTAGTATATTTGATCGCATCTCGGTCATCTTGGTCGCAGCACACGGCAGAGAGAGACCATAATACACAGTTGGGCTGCTGTGGTGAAGGATACCTGTGTGCCGCACATACCGATCTGTGGTCGTAGTGGCCTTCCTGCACGGCAGAGAGAAGTCGTAATGCCGAGTTCGGCTTCTGCAGTGAAGGCTACATATGCGTCGAAGACACCAACCCGCGCATGGCGACATGAGAATACACTCGTGCATAAAGCTCCGCCCGACTTCAACGGTAATCACAGATAAAGGCTACTTGTACGTTCGCCATAGACACTGATTGGCTGTTGTGTTGGTTTCAGTGCATAGAAAGGAGCAACGGTAACACTAAGCTACCACAGTAAAGATTATCTGGCCATGGTAGACTATAATCCCCTGCTGTCTCTCCCTCCGTCCACATCCATTCTGAGTGCCTGGATCGTTTTTGAAAAACGACACTTGTTTCTGGCTGCCTGAATCGCTTTTGCAAAAGGACACTACTTATAATGATACTGCTCTGCATCCCTAGCCAACAGTACCGCTTGTTATCTAGAAACTTGGGTTGTACACAGTGATCGGGTGAAAGTATGTGTATTACTGACACTCACCCAATTACCGACACTCACCCATCACACATTATGGTAACTCTAAATAGATCCTCGGGAGAAGATAACATAAGGCCTAGCAATGGACAGACAACTTCCAGTCAAAATTGACAGAATTCCATGAAATTTGAACGTTTGGAAGTTCTGAGCACCTCCATTTCTTGAATTTCGGCCAAAACGAACTTTTCCCAAATTTAATTGTTTTCAACTGTTCGAAATTCATGGCACATTACCATACACTGATTTTATAACTGTAACTGGAAATAAACTACCACAGAGGAGTAAGAATGCATGGTGACCATTTTCCCCTCGATATATATATATATATATATATATATATATATATATATAATAAAATATTGCCCATTACTAAGCCCACTAATACTAAAGTTCACTGACCTGTTATGATCAAGCTGGGGCAGATTTTTTAGCCAGACAGCAGACAATGAGCAAACTGGATAAAAGAAACTGTATATACATGTGTACCTTGTATACAGAACATATTGTAAGGAGTTGCCATGTGTTTGGCTTATATCCATCATATCCCTCTGGGGATTTTGCTCATTTCTTCCATATGTTTATCCATAGTCAATGGTGGGTTCACAAATTGGAGTTCATGGGGTACCTGTAATGTCACCTGTGGTGGAGGCTCCCAGTCAAGAACCAGGACATGTACCAATCCAGTACCACAAAATGGAGGTGCTGATTGTGTGGGAATCACACTGGAGTTACAACAGTGTAATACTCAGGGGTGTCCAGGTAAATTATTTCTTCCTTTTGGTGAGATTTTATTCATATATATTGTTTTATTCATGATGTATTAATTAAAATAAAGTATATATGCCATCTTGTATATTTAAATGTAAAAAAGTCTGCGGCTATAACTGATGTTATGGTATCCAGCTGGTCAGTCTTCAAGAACTATTTTACAAAATACCTTATATTTCAGTGGATGGAGGATACAGTCAGTGGAGCACTTGGGGCACTTGTTCTTCTACATGTGGAGGTGGCTCTCAAACAAGAACCAGAACTTGCACAAACCCTACTCCAGCTTTTAATGGCAATGACTGTTCTGGTCTTGGACCTAACTCAGAAACACAGCAATGCAACACACAGGGATGTCCAAGTGAGACAGCAACTTTACAAAAATTATTTTCAGGACAAAAATCAAATACATTTTTTCTTATTTTCATGTATTAAAAGGGAAAGTGTATACAAAAAATCTAGAAGATCTGTATGTTAATTAACAAATTTTATTCATTAAGGCTCCGTTCACATGGAAAAATCTATTTTCTAAAAATCTATTTTTGGTATCTTGTGATCACGGTCTGTGCTGTGGATACCCCACGGTGTAATAACTGGCAAAGCGAGCGAGTTATTTTCAAAGCTGTTATTAATTCTCGGCTGATTTCGGAGGAGATTCTGAAACCTTGACGCATGCGTAGTAGGAAGTTAAAAAGTAAATGGTGGTCGCGGTTACTTTGAAAAATGTGTTTGTCAAATTTGTGCAACAACAAGATGAAGAAGATGAAGAAGCTATACACACAACAGATATGAGTGCAACTGTTACGATCCGATGGCAAGCGATGCATCAAGGTATCAGAATCTCTTCTGAGCGCAGCCGAGATTTAATTACAGCTTTGGAATTAACTCGCTCGTGCTACCAGTAATTACGCTGCAGGGTATCCAGGGCAAAGACCTTGATCACAAGATACCAAAAATAGATTTTTAGAAAATAGATTTTCCATTGGCAGAGCCTAATAGAGCATATCTCTACACTTTTCATTTGTAGTCAATGGTGGGTTCACAAATTGGAGTTCATGGGGTACCTGTAATGTCACCTGTGGTGGAGGCTCCCAGTCAAGAACCAGGACATGTACCAATCCAGTACCACAAAATGGAGGTGCTGATTGTGTGGGAATCATACTGGAGTTACAACAGTGTAATACTCAGGGGTGTCCAGGTAAATTATTTGTTCCTTTTGGTGAGATTTTATTCATATATATTGTTTTATTCATGATGTATTAATTAAAATAAAGTATATATGCCATCTTGTATATTTAAATGTAAAAAAGTCTGCGGCTATAACTGATGTTATGGTATCCAGCTGGTCAGTCTTCAAGAACTATTTTACAAAATACCTTATATTTCAGTGGATGGAGGATACAGTCAGTGGAGCACTTGGGGCACTTGTTCTTCTACNTGCTGCTCCTCCCTTTTCTGATATTAGGGAAGAAATGATGCATTTGAAAGAATATATGTTTTGTGTTATAATTTTAAATGTTTTGTTTGAGAATGGTAGTGTTTGTTGTTAAATGTGCAAGACATGAAAATAGCCTACACTTTCATTCACACAGATATGTTCTTGGGTTAAAATAACTTTGTCTTTTATTGTTCATGTATGGAAATGGCCTGAAAAACTAAATTATTGGTCAGAAAAAAAACTATTAGTACTCACCATAACTTTTTAAGAATAGAAGAAAAGTCCACCAGGGGGTCATATTTCTGTTTAGATAAGAAGTTTTTTTTTTTTGCAAAATGCACATACTACATAAATTAGACCTCAGCAGTTAGGTGGCATTTGTGTGCCAAACGCTTTTTTGGCATTATTATTTATTTAGTGGAATAATTTGAATTCTCTTTAGTAATTTGAATTCTCTTCTGTGTAGCTATAGGTATGACCACTCACCTTCACTGAGATATCCATGCTTTATCTCCTGAGCCTGCAGGAGAACATGGGGCAGCAGCAGACAAAAAGCTGCTCCAATGTGGAGAGTTTGTGCCACAGGACCCATCTGCTGCCAGAAACGCTTTCCAAATCTTGTCTCCAAATATCTAAGACGTGCCTCCTTCTTGCTTAAAATTTCTTCTCCAAGCCTAACACCATCATTGGCATAATTTTCCACTTTGAATATGGCAGCCAACGCGAAAAATGGCAAACACAGCAGTGATAGTGCAATAAGAGCAACATAGGAGGTGAATTCCAAAGATGGCATTTCATCTTCTTTCCAATGTAAACTTTTGAATGCTGAGTACCTGCTAACGGCCAGGTAGGTCAGGTATCCTTGTGCGATCAGCACAATGGCACAATACCAGATGCACCAAAAGGAGTTGAAGCGGATTCTGCATCCACACACTTTTTTCTCCGATAAAGGCATCTTGTGTCCTTATAGTAATTCTGTGCTTTTAAGTTTTTTCTCGTCTGTTTTAAGTTGTCATCCTGAATCTTTCTCTGCTATCTGAAAGTAAAAAACAATGTTGCTTTGAAAATCAACCAAAACAAAGATTTGCAAATGCACAAGCTTCTGAAGTCTCAGCAACTGCCAAGTCTTTTTCTTTGGGTTTAACATTCTAACAAAATGAAATGTGGGAGGTTTTAGGAAGTAGTATATACAGCTACATTTTGGGCATTAAATCACCAGCTTTTTGTGATCTGGCTGTGAAGACCAAAAACCCACAGAGTTTGGTGTATGGGAAAGTGACCCAGTACGTGAAACACTGCTCACTTTCAATTCAGTCTTGTCTTTCGAGATCCGGATGTTTTGTTGTCTGACTTTTCCACTCCTCACTGCAGCCTCTTCTCTTTTGAAGCAATTTTGCTTGTAACTCATGGGCACAAGTTCATATATACAGACCAGTGAGTTCACAGCATGACACATGTATTCATAAACTAAGATGTAGCAGTCAGCGGCTAATGAATTTACTACCAGTGTCTCTCTGTGCATCTATCATGGAGTGAACTTTACAAGGTGTATAAGAACTTTTTACCAGTACTTTTTTTTTCATCAAGAAAAAATTAGGCCACCTGCTTGCAGGATGTTTGACATCCTATTAAAACATCAGCTTCTCAGGAAATCAGATGAATATATTAGAAAAACAAACAGTAGTAATTAGCTTAAGTTGAAGCTTTTAGGGACTGCCTGTACATCTTGGGAGTGTCTCTTTGGATAGAGCCTTGTAGGAACAGTTAAGAAAATGGATGAAGAATAAGTACTTAATGCATGAGAGTGTTTTGCTTCAATTTCTACCAATTTGAAGCAGTTTATATCTTGACTTTTGTGTGTCTCCTAGATTCAGCTTGGCAGCTCATTGTTGAGGGTTTATTTTGACAGTTGTGGAAACGTGCTGTGCCAAGTTAAGATTGAAAAGAGAAGAAAGCTATTTGGAATAAAACTTCACTTATTATCAAACTGCCAAACTAAATTTATCACAAGCTCTTGACAATAATTGTACGTGTGTGAGTCAGTATAATGAAGATTTTTCTGAAAATTTGTGAATTAGTATTTATTTCCTAATACTCCTAAATTCAACTCTTAGAAAACACTCTTTAAAATATGTTATCAAACCATATCAAGATTGTATAACCTGGGTAAAAAATAATTTGATATAAAGTTGATATAGATAGTATAAGTAGAATCATCAAAATCCAGCTTTGATGGCTCTCTGGATGTTGTGGCTGGTATGGATGACAGAAACCTATTTTTTGAAACCTGTCCTGATATGTTGCAAGTGTGACTGTGAATCATTGGCAAAGAATGCCCTTTGTTATTGCTTTGTTGAAAGAAATGAGAAAATAAATTGTCTTGTGATTGATTGTCTTTAAATATGACAGCATAAGTGACAAAAGTTTACAAACTGTTGAACACTGAAAAAGGGTAACATGTTACCAAGTATAATCTAAAAACTTGCACTGTAGATGCTGAATGAAATTCCTCACAACTTAAAAAGCTTTGATAAACAGCAGGGGCATGCTGGGTTAAAAAACAAGTCAAGTGTATCAACATGATAGAGAAGAAGATAAAAGCCCCCCACAACAAAGATTTCCATGAACATAAGTCATATCTGCTCTGCGTGAGAAGTCATTTGCACTCCTTGGGAGAAAAGTAATGGTGGCATGGTGCCCCAGCTATTGTGAGTGCACTGAGAAAAAAATACAATCTTTGACATAAGAGATGCTTTGCTCCCTGCTTTCCTAGTTCTTTGGCATTTTTGTGAGAGAGATAACCCAGAGATTAACAGGTGCAGGGGATGGAAAGATGAGACCATGAAAAGATAGAACAGGGCACGCCTTAATCAGAGCCAATGGAATCAAAACAAACCCAATACTTCAGCTGCAATGGCCTGATGTTGTGTTTACTTTTGGTCGCACAGCTAGATCAACAATACTATAGGAAATATATATATATACATATTACTTATCTCCATCCCCATGTAATGAAATGGGAGGTTGGCCTGGAGAAGATAGCATATCTAAGCCTACAAGGGGGAAAACATACACATCTGTTATGTGATTGTTTGTAATATTGTTTAAAGAATTATAAAGATTAAGTTAAAGTAATCAGTTAGTCTAGATGCTTTGATTTGTGTTAATAAAGTGCTTTCTTCACAATAGTAGGCTAATAGGTGGCCATGATGATTAATTAAAAAATTCTTTTTGTATGTTAATTTGGCTAATGAGCCATAAAATTTTTATAATTCAAATATTATATATTTTCAGTTATTATTTTTTTTCAACCTAGGTGTACTATTAGAACCCCTCTAATACTGGGTGTTTACAAGTAATGTACAGATTGTGTATAATCTGTCTCTTCCTTTTCCAGTGTTGTTTCAAATGTCTGATTTCTTAGCACCTGTTTTGCAGATTATTATGATATCTTAACACAAAACAGGTGGAAGATGGCTGTATTATTTTTGGATATAAATGAAGAAACTGATATAAACAGGCTTTGTATTATTTTTCCTTCTTATGTCCAACTCAAAATTGGATTAACATTCTAAGAAATGATTAAGGCCTGGGTGCACATGCTTTTAACATAGCTTTAGGTGTGAAATTTGTTATACCAGACTAAGTGGTATAATTTTTCCTGCTTTAAATTTTAATTAATTAGTTACATCTTAATGTAAGAATTCCTACAGATACCACACCAAGATTAAAAGAACAGTTTGTTTTTACATTTGTTTTAGATCTTTAGTGCAACCCTGTAGGGAAATTAGATTCAGAATTATTTTCTTTTCTTTATAGCTTTATAAATTCTTATTAATTGTTAATGGGCATTTACATGCTTAAGGATGGTTTGCAACTGTATACCTTATGTAAGCCATTTAGTTTTAGAATGAACATTTTGACAACAGGTACCCTACAGTGTGCATGCCATGGTGGATGTGGCAGACTGAAAAAAGCAGTAAAACTGTATATAAACCTCATGCTTCATTTGATTTAAGACATAAACCATGTTTCTTTTCACCTGTTTTATGTCAAAATTCCAAACTATCTTTTTTGGGTACAAAGAGTTTAGAAAATATCTAAGATGAAAGAATAAAAAATGGTTGAAAAAAATTCTTAAATGAAATGGAATGCATATGCCATAAGTTCATCATCATTTAACATTTTACATTAGCTTATGTTTTTACTTATTTTGGTTCTCAATGCATATTATGAAAAATGACACCCAATTTTTGACAAACGGATGCACAGATGACCCCAGTTTTTTTCAGCCAGGGTCCAGAATATCCCCAAAATTTAGCATGATGAGGGAAATGTTCCCCTTTTAATTTCTGGTGGGTGGAGAGGGATATACAAGGATAAACAAGCAGATCATGGAAGGGAGTGAAGAAGAATTTTGCAGCCTGCTCCAAATATCCGATATGCTGTTGGAAGACAAGTTAGCAGTTAACACTGGTGTTTGGAAAAATAACTCAAGAGTCAGCATGCATTCCAAGCCTCACTCAGTTATTTTTGTATTGTTAATGGAAAGTACTTACTTTCCTATGAAGATAATGGCAAATTTGTCCTGTTTAAAGTATATTTGAACCTGAAGATGTGTTTAGATGAGTGCAAATGTCCAGCCCCTTGATCTGGCTAGTTTTGATGGCTAATTAAATAGAGAGCACATTTATTTTTATCTTAAGGTCAGATATTTTTATCTGGAGTCAGGTAAAACTGTTTGGGAACATGAGCAGTTTTAAAATTGTTTATGTACTGTAACACGAATCTTATGCTGAAACTATTTCACCTTGTCTCTATGTTTACAAATAAGCTTCAAAGTTATACTGGTTGGTATTCAAGATAAGTAATAATGCTTACTCCCATGTGGGTAGGCCCCTCTGTCATATTAACAGCTTCTGGGGGTATTCACATAATGCAATTAAACTGATTTGATTTGTGTGTGAACTTAATTAATTATCTAAAATTAATTAGAGTGTGGTTTCCTATGGGCAGTTATG